TAAGTGTTTGATAGAATTCACCTGTGAAGCCATCTGGTCCTGGACTTCTGTTTGTTGGAAGATTTTTAATTATGGTTTCAATTTCATTACTTGTGATAGGTCTGTTTATATTTTCTAATTCTTCCTGGTTCAGTCTTGGAAAGTTGTGCCTTTCCAAGAATTTGTGCATTTCTTCATGGTTGTCCATTTTATTGGTATATAGTTGTTTATAGCAGTCTCGTATAATCCTTTGTATTTCTGCAGTGTCAAGTGTGATTTCTCCGTTTTCATTTCTAATTTGATTGATTTGCGTCGTCTCCCTTTTTTCCTGATGAGTCTGGCTTTATCTTCTCAAAGAACCAGCTTTTATTGATCTTTGCTATTGTTTTCTTCATTTCTATTTCATTTATTTCTGCTCTGATCTTTATGATTTCTTTCCTTCTATTGACTTTGGGTTTTCTTTGTTCTTCTTTTTCTAGTTGTTTTAAATGTAGGGTTAGATTGTTTCTTTGAGACTTTTCTTGTTTCTTGAGGTGAGATTGTATTGCTATAAGCTTCCCTCTTAGAACTGCTTATGCTGTGTCCCATCAGTTTTGGGTTGTCGTGGTTTCGTTGTCATTTGTTTCTATGTATTTTTTAATTTCTTCTTTGATATCTTCAGTGATCTCTTGGTTATTTAGTAGTGCACTGTTTAGCCTCCATGTATTTGTGGTTTTTTACAGTTTTTTTTCCTGTAAACTGATTTCCAGTCTCATAGCATTGTGGTCAGAAAAGATGCTTGATATGATTTCAATTTTCTTAAATTTTCTAAGGCTTGATTTATGACCCAGGATGTGATCTATCCTGGAGAATGTTCCATGTGCACTTGAGAAGGAAGTGTATTCTGCCACTTTTGGGTGGAATGTTCTATAAATATCAATTAGATCTATCTGGTCTATTGCGTCATTTAAAGCTTGTGTTTATTTATTTTCATTTTGGATGATCTGTCCATTGGTGAAAGTGGGGTGTTAAAGTCCCCTACTATTATTGTGTTACTGTCAATTTCTTCTTTCATGGTTGTTAGCATTCGCCTTATGTATTGAGGTGCTCCTATGTTGGGTGCATAAACATTTATAATTGTTATATCTTCTTCTTGGGTTGATCCTTTGATCATTATATAGTGTCCCTCCTTACCTCTTGTAACAGTCTTTATTTTAAAGTCTGTTTTATCTGATATGACTATTGCTACTCCAGCTTTCTTTTGATTTCCATTTGCATGGAATGTCTTTTTCCATCCCCTCAATTTCAGTCTGTATGTGTCCCTAGGTCTGAAGTGGGTCTCTTGTACACAGCATATAGATGGGTCTTGTTTTTGTAACCATTCAGCCAGTCTGTGTCTTTTGGTTGGGGCATTTAGTCCATTTACATTCAAGGTTATTATCGATATGTGTGTTCCTATTACCATTTTCTTAGTTGTTTTGGGTTTGTTTTTGTGGGTCTTTTTCTTCTCTTGTGTTTCCCGGCTTAGAGAAGTTTCTTTAGCATTTCTTGTAAAGCTGGTTTGGTGGTGCTGAATTCTCTTAGTTTTTGCTTGTCTGAAAAGCTTTTTGACTCCTCCATCGAATATGAATGAGATCCTTGCTGGGTAGAGTAATCTTGGTTGTAGGTTTTTCTCTTTCATCACCTTAAGTGTATCCTGCCACTCCCTTCTGGCCTGCAGAGTTTCCACTGAAAAATCAGCTGATAACCTTATGGGGATTCCTTTGTATGGTATTTTTTGTCTTTCCCTTGCTGCTTTTAATATTTTTTCTTGGAATTTAATTTTTGTTATTTTGATTAATATGTGTCTTGGTGTGTTTTTCCTAGGGTTTATCCTGTATGGGACTCTGTGCTTCCTGGCCTTGGGTGACTATTTCCTTTCCCACGTTAGGGATGTTTTCAACTATAATGTCTTCAAATATTTTCTCAGATCCTTTCTTTTGCTCTTCTTCTTCTGGGACCCCTATAATTCGAATGTTGGCACATTTAATGTTGTCCCAGAGGTCTCTGAGATAGTCTTCAATTCTTTTCATTCTTTTTTCTTTATTCTGCTCCTCGGCAGTTATTTCCACCATTTTGTCTTCCAGCTCACTTATTTGTCTTCTGTTTCAGTTATTCTGTTATTGATTCTTTCTAGTGTATTTTTCATTTCAGTTATTGTGTTCTTCATATCTGTTTTTTTGTTCTTTAGTTCTTCTAGATCTTTGTTAAATGTTTCTTATATTTTCTCAATCCATGCCTCCAATCTGTTTCAGAGATTCTGGATCATCTTTACTATCATTACTCTGAATTCTTTTTCATGTAGGTTGCCTATTTCCTCTTCATTTATTTGGTCTTGTAGGTTTTTACCCTGCTCCTTCATCTGTGACATATTTTTTTTGCCATCTCTCTCTTTTTTTTTTTTTTTAATGAGTGGGGCTGTGTTCGTGTCTTACTGGTTGTTTGGCCTGAGGTTTCCTACACTGGGGTTTGTAGGCTGTTGGGTAGGGCTGGGTCTTGGTGCTGAGATGAGGACCTCCATGAGACCTCACTCTGATGAATATTCCCTGGCGTCTGAGGTTCTCTGTTAGTCCGGTGATTCAGACTCGGAGCTCCCACCGCAGGAGCTCTGGTCCGACAAGGGGCTCGTGAACCAAGATCCCGCAAGGCATCTGAGGCAGCAAAAAAACCCAAAAAACAAAAAAACAATAAAAAAATAGCAAAGTAAAAAATAAAATTAGACTAGGAAACTAACAGGTATGTTAGGAAGAATATAAAAATAAAAATATAGCCGAATCAACAACCGGAAGGTACATTAGTACCACAATAGTAAAAAAGAGGAGGAGGGAAAAGAAAAAAAGGGGGTGGGGGGAGGCCTTGGCTGTGGAGGGCGGGGCCTAAGCAGGGGCGAGCTTTGGGTGGTGGGTGGGGTCAATGCTCAGGACCCACAGGGCTGGAAAAGGCCCTGGGGGCTGTGGGCAGTGGGGCTTGAGCTCAAGGAACAAAGGGGCCCAGGCGCACCCCCCATCCCTGGTCTCAGAGGGCAGGGGACCTCACCTGGGAGCCCAGCAGGCTTCCTGGGCTCCAGTGGGCGGGGCAAACACCCTCCTCTCCTCTCCTGCTCCTTCGGTCTGGGAGGGCCCCTTCCACCTGCCTCTCCTGATCTGCCCGGCCTCCATCCTATGCCCCCAAGGACCTACGCAGCCTGGAGGGGGCTTTGGAGGGCAGGGGATCGGCCTGGGAGCTCACCCATTGTTTAAATTTTTAGTTTATTTTTCAAAAATATAAAATTATATTTAAGGTGTTCAATGTGATGTTTTGATATACGTATGCATTATGAAATGATTACCACAATGAAACTAAAAAAAGTGGCTTTTAATAGCATGTATGCCATTTACCTTCAAAGGTTGTAGTCTCTAAATGAAGCTCAGAGCAAGAAAAGGGAAGGAGAGTCTCCTAGTGGTTCAAGTTCTGTCTTCAGTCTGGGGGCAGGCAGGTCTCCAAAGAGTGGTATTCAGATTGAATCCGTTAAACCACAGCCTTCCATTGTGAATGTCTCATCCACCGAAGTCAAGCCAGAAATACTCTGTCGTGTAGCTGCAGTACTTTAAACCCAGTGTGTGCCACCCAGTGGCCTCAAAGCAATTCTGGCTCGTTGGTAGGAAGGGGCATTGCTCACACACCAGGACTCCACTTTTAACCCTGCGTGGATCAAGTGATTGATTTCGTCCTTTTGTTTTGGCACTGATAAGCTTTCTTAATGAAAAACTATTGAGGAGAAATCTAAACTCATATTACCTGCATCGCACTGTATAGTTTTCTGGGGAAGATATAAGAAATCTCAGTATGAGTCCCTGGTCTCCAGAACTTTGTCATCTAACTCCATTTATCTACAGAGGTTGGCTTAATGTCTTTTTCTTTGTTCTGTTGTTAAGATATAAATGAGTAGTGGTGTGATCAAAAGATAATCTCTGTGGCTATCTAAAAAGATAGATCTGTAGCTAATTCATAATCTTGAATAATCTGTGATGACAAGATACAGAAACAAAAACGCCCTGAATAAAAAAATACCACTGTTAGGAGTCATTTCGTTTGAAGTCTTTAAAAATGTACTTCTAATTTCTTTAAATAATTTATTATGAAATATTTGAGACAGAGAGAACTACAGAAAGACTCATATAAGGAGCATCTGTGTACCCACCACCCAGCTAAAGAAAGGAAGCACGACAGCTGGAGTTGCAGCCTGCTGTGTACACCCCGCCCTGCTGTGCAGCTTCCCCTTCCTAGAAGCCACTGATCCTGAACTCCCTGTGCTCTGTATAGAGATGTAAAGAGTCCCAATCATGGGACCAAGTTTCCCCATTACTTACAGAATAAAGTTTTCATCTTTAGCTTGGTATTCAGAAGACTGTACGTTCTGGTTCAGATCTCCTCCGGTCCGCCTGCACCCCTCACCGTCTCTAGGTGCAGCCTGGGTGTGCCGGCACCCTGCCAGGTGCACCCTTACTGGCCTCAGATGCTGCTGCTTCCATTCCTTTGTTCCTCTCTTCATGAACACCCCTTCCTTCACCTTCTCTGCTGAAACCGCACCTAATGAATGCTACTACTGCCTGCAGTTGACAGTTCTTTAAAATAGACTGTATTTTCATAATATTTGCATTATGTCTCATCACAGTTATTGTATGCACGCCTGTCTCTTCCACTGCACTGTAGACTCTTTGAAGGACGCTGTACCGTATAAACAGTGTTTCAGATGTTGTAAGCAGTCAGTAAAAACTCAGGAGGATACTGATCATTGCTTTACTTTATGACCATTAACCTGCCCTGCGCTCAACTGCTTTATAGACATGTGCTGTTTATGGTCTCTGAGACTCCTAAGAGAAGTCTAGTAGTTGTTAAACATGGATGGGACTATTCATGACATCACGTATTTGTCAATTTTTTGACATTGTCATATTTTGTATGTTACAGTAGTACATGTTTTAAAATATCAAAGTAATGTCTCTCTTTATTTTATCTTTTAGATATTGCTGTATGGAGATTTGCCAAAAAACAAAGAAAATATAATATATTTGGCAAATCATCAAAGCACAGGTTTGTATTTCATTTGCATGAAACAGGTTTCTCTACGCACAGTAGGAAAGTAATTCAAAGTATTTTTTATGGATTTGTTGTTGTTGGTAAAACATGAATTTTCAATGCAGGTATTATATGTGACCTCGTATTTTTGTGATTTTAGTTTTTTGGAAAATCAGGAATGTGAAAGCTATGAATTTTCCTTTTCCCTCTGCGGGGTGTATATAAGCTATTTTCTTTCTTTTTTTTCTCTTTCTTTGAATATTCTTCCTTTTTAAGTTTTGTTCTTGGAAGTGGAATTTGTGGATCATACTGTATAAACATTTTATATTTTTGATTGTTAAGCTGCAGAAAGGTTGTACTGATTTGTGAGTACTCATTTCCTTAAACACAGTATTAATTACTAATGTCTGCAGTTCCTTTTGCTTCTTCAAATGTTTGGGTTTAATTATATCTTGCTCTTCTATCAGAGGAATCACAGAAGACTCTGCTCTCCAGTGTGGCGCAGTATATACGTTAAATTAGCTCAAGGTACTTAAAAAAAACACTTTTTATATTGAAATAATTGTAGATTCACAAGGATTTACAAAAATACTATGTAGAGTCCATTGACTTCACCAAGTTTGTCCCAATGACGGCATCTTATACAGTAACCAAACTAAGAAATTAACAGTGGTTAAGGTACTTTTCAGTTCTGCAAATAATTCAGTCCAAGAAACATCCCACTTCATATTTTTTCAAAGCTGTAACTGCTTTTGATACACACTTCCTAAATTCTATTTTTATTACTTTAAAAAATGTAGTACCCGGAAGTTCAAAGCTAAAAACAAGCTGATGAATGATAACACCTGATTGAGAAATCACTAGTGCCTGTGGCTGTCCTTTATCTTCCTCCTGTCAGCTGTGTTTCTTCACGGTTACTTTTATTACTACGTATACCTTCTGGAAGGTAAAGAAAGGTAAAGAAGTTGAAGTGCATCTTTCTCAACCTGTCTTGTTACTGATTACGCTCAGTTTTCTAGGTCAAGAGCTGATGCTCTGAAGGGTGAATAGGAATTTGATGTATCTGTATTTCCCTGGCTTTATTGCCATGACTGCTAAGACTTTGATTTAATTACATTTGACTTTAGCAAAGCAACCAGCCCTGTGGTCAGGGTCTACTTCTAACTCTGACCTATAAAGCAGCCTGACTTCCTCTTTATTTTGACTGTTTCTCCAGTCATATCGGGCTTTTTACTGCTAACACAGTCTTGCTATTCCTGTTCTGCTGCTGATGGCATACGTCTACCAGGGTTCCAATATCCAAATAAAAAGGATTTGTGGGTCTAGGGCAGGGAGTGGCTCATGATAGCCCAATTTCCTTTATATTGAGCCCCTGGTTAATTTCATTTAGAGTTTTCTTTCTGTTTAAAGAATTCTCTCTTAAAATTTCTTGTTCAGGTTCCATGCCAACTTTCCTTTTTCCAGGTTTCAATGGAAATAGTGTTCTGCTAACAGAGCTTTGGTACTAGCATGAACCTGTGGAATAAGTACTCCCTGAACATTCCTGGAGGTGGGAGTAGTAGCAATAAAAATAATAATACAAAAATTATAGCCACTGCTGTCATTTGTCTGCTTACTGTGTGTTGGCCTTTATATCCATTACTTCAGAGTGAGGACTTCTGGGAAAACATTTGGAAGGACACAGAGTTTTCACGATTCTGTGTTTGGACCTGGAAGGGTAAAATGGGAAGTGTGAGCTCCTTAGGCAGCCCACGGCTGACGTGAAAACGTTACCTGTCTCATCACAGAGAACCAGTCTGCATTCCCGTCCTCTCACCCGACCTCTGAGTGCCTGGACTTTTAGTACCGGCCCCATACCAGTCCGTCGTTCGGGGTTAAGAAGGTTGCTTTTTGAATGCTTTAAAAAATCCATAATTTAGGAACATAACTAGATAGTGACTTTAAATTACTTTAGAATTATAGGCTTCAGTTAGAATGTGATAGCAGATACGTAGCCTTTTCCCAGAAAAATGGGCACATAAAACTTTGCGTAGAGTTTGAGGTTCCAGAGGCCCCTAAAGCTTATCCAGGGACATGGCTCGTTGGCCCGCTATGTCTAGGTACCCCTTTTAAAACCCTTTTGAGGTATTAAAAACCACAGCCGAGTAATCTGAAAATGTCAGTAGCAGAAAGAACATGTCAAGGACTGCTGTTCAGCTTAGGCTTCCTTGCTCTCCCTCTGCGAGGCCTGCCAGAATACAAGAGTCTTTCCTTGGCCGGGCAGCCAAAGAATTGGCATTTGAATTCGTCCCTCTGGTCCCCTGTTTTCACTTGATGTGCCCTTGCTCTCTCTGCATTCTTAGTCTCTGTTAACTTATTTATCTCCAGAGTCAGCAAGGCTGCAGTGACCACTATTCCTTCCTCTCGGCCTTCTTTAGCTCTCTGCTTTGGACACTCTGTAACTTTTTAATCTCACAAAGGTTCCGTTTTCTTGGTTTAGGTGACATTTGTCTTGACTAACAACATGTATGGTGAGGTCTGGGCTGTGGAGTCAGACCCCAATTCATAAGCTATTCTGCAATAGGCTGTGTGACTGTGGGCAAATGACTTAGCCTCTCTGAGCCTTATTGGTCAGGTGTGAGTCATGTCTACTGGTCAAGGCTTTTAGGCAGTTTCCATAGGCTAGCTCGTAATCTCACAGAGAGCCCGGCTCACACGGGCAGCGAACAGTAGGGGTGATGATGCTGACAGCTAATCCCGAGGGCACGCCGGATCCGTGTTAGGCGAGTGCTCGCATGCAGGATCTCCTTCAGACCGCGCTATGCCCTTATGAGTTGGGAGCTGTTGTTACCTGATAACACAGATGAAAAAGCTGTCATCTTCTCTTGCTGCCTCTCCTCACTGCCCTCCCCTCCTCTCTTCCCAGTTAATGGGAACAACGGCTTGGGCTGGATCACCATAGAAGAATTCTTACACAGCTGCATTTCTTGATCTCATGCCAGAACACAAAATGTGTGAATAGTTATTATAAAGGTAATACATTAGCATCTCAGCTGTCAGTAACTCAGCTGTAGTCTAGTGTCTCCTATCTGAAACCTAGTTGAGAATTTAAAAAAGTAAAAAAGATAATTGAGTAGCAAAAATTGATGGCACAAAGCTTGTGTCTTTTGACTACTAAATTAGTTCTTAAAATTTTTCCACTAAATATTTCAGAAATCTAAGGGTATAGCCAGGACAGTTCATTACAACATGACATACTTTGTAAATTTTACACTTTCTCTTAAAAGTTATTGGAAGATGTATCCTAGCCTACCATATAACCATGTGTGTTTTAATATAAAAATGAATTTTCAAATTCTTCCACATTTTAAAAAATGATTGTTTCAGGAAAAGATACCAAATCTTGTTTTTAGCCTTGTATCCCAAATATGTTCCAGAATATACTGTAGCCTGGAAACCATACGCTAAGTTCTCAGAATTTATTCTGAGTCTGTTTACTTTTACATTAGGTATATTTATAACATTAGCTTGATTATTTAGTTTCCAAGACATGGTTAGAAAGAAATGTGTTTATCAGTGACTGTTTAATTGATCTGAATTACAGGGAAGGGGATAGGGAGAGGGCTTCTATAGGGAGGTACATATTTTAAAGAAAAGTGATAATTGATAGTTCCATAGAGTAGGCGTCGCCAACTGATAGACACCACTGCTGGGGATCATTTACTACAGGGGAAAATCTTTGCATCACTCTATTTAAAGCAGCCATAATAGCAATTATAGATGTAATCATTGTACCTCTTAAATCATCAAGAAAGTTAATTATGAATGATAAAAAAGATTAAAAAGAAAGATTTATAATAATTGATAAAACATTTTTGCAAAAGGATAATTTTTAATGTTTAACTTGGCTAATATACTTCTTTAGGATATTCTGTCCAGTATGGTGCATTGCCTAAAGAATATCACACAGCTAAGAGTTAATCTTCCTGAAATCCTGTGGAAAACTGTCCCTTTTGGTTGAAATTTTATTGTTACTCCGTTATTTTCTTGGTTTTTATTTCCTACCAGGTTTTTATTTAAAAAAAAAAAAATTTCCTCTCGAATTTGCTCCTTTTGTTTTCATTTCCATGGCCCTGAATACACTTGTGATCCGATGACTGAATCCTTTCACAGCTTCTTATTAATTTTTTTTTCAAGTATCCCATCTTCCAGTTCATCTGAGATATGAGAAAAGTCTCCCTCACATTTCATTTTTATCATTTTCATTCTTATGAAGAAATAGGGTAGTTGGCAGCCATTTATTTTCAAATCCAGATCTCTCTGGTCCTCCAGACCCTTTACCATTTGCTGGCTTAACTTCATTTTATTTCCTCTTGATCTCTTTAAATCATCTCTTCTGTTTGCCATCTTCTGTACAGTTTGCTGGTCTCCGGTCCTTTGCTTTGGCAGGAAGGCTAGTCCCAAGGAAGGGCTACTTCTGTTCAGAATTTGCTCTGCTCGAAAGATCAATTAACAACCTATTTCTTCTTATAGGTTTTTTGAGTTTTTTGTTGGCACCTCACTCGTGCCTTCTTATTTTTGTGTTTTTTTGAACTTTTAGTCATAACATATCTATGGAATTAGAGTTATTAGCAGCCTGGCTACGTGTCCTTTGATTATGTAAAGAACACATATGTGCCCAGCATAGTTGTAAGCTTTGAGAGATCTTTGTTTTGAATTCCATTATAACCTATTATTGTGTCCTGAAAGTCATTGGTCAAGATAAAATGTCCTTGCCTCTTGTTGAACATATTGGTATATACAGAATATTTACTTCCACGTGACAGCTTCATTTAGCCATTTTTTTGCTTATAATTTCATGTTTTCTAGACGTCAAGAATGAGAGAAGCCTGTTTTATTTTGTTCATGCTGCTTTTGGATTACTCTGATGGTTTGTGACTTTTGCATTTTATCCGTGAGACGAGAAGCTTTTCAAGAACCGTAAAAACAAAAACCAACAAAAAACAAATCTAAAAAACTCCACAGAATTTATATTTTGCAAATGTCTGAGGTTGTTTTAAAGTAATTTAACAATTCTAACCCTAATATTTTTCAAAGCATATCCTCATACAGTCTTGTGAAGAGGCATTTTGTGTTTCTGTGAAGGGGATGCTGGAGTTCACCCGGGGCCGCTTATGCACTAATTGATTCTGTCTTTGCAGTTGACTGGATCGTTGCTGATATTTTGGCCATCAGGCAGAACGCTCTCGGACACGTGCGCTATGTGCTGAAAGATGGGCTCAAATGGCTTCCACTGTATGGGTGTTATTTTTCTCAGGTAACTTTCCCATGCTTCTTTCTTTATATATATGTAGCTTATGAAAATTTTAGATTTTAAAATTTTACATACATTTAATATGAATGTATGAGTTTTTTTGGTTTATTTTTATGGGTTTAATAGTTTATTCTAAATTAACATGATTTTGTCTGACATTTTTAATGTTAAATAGAAAAAATGCAAATGTACAAAAACCAAATAAATAGAAAAATTTAAAGACCTAGAAATTGATGGACACTTACCTTAAGAAACTAAAAAGTAATTATCTGTAGGATATAAAAAAATAGTGAGCTATGTATATAAAGTGCCTAGCATGAGTGTCAGGTACATAATAAATATTCAATATATGTTATTTTATGCAAATTCTTTAAAATTACATAATAACCATCAGGTCATGGAACTATATAACAGGCTCTTTGATATTCAGAAGGGGATTACTAGCATTTTTCTATGCCTTTTCTGAATATATTATTTGATATGTAATTTTCTAAATATTAAGAATGAAATTGCTATGGAAGACAAACTTGTTAATAAGACTTTAATAATCGATTAAAGAAGAAAAGCTAAAGTTATGGTGATCTCTGAAAATATATAAATCTGAAAGTCATCCGCTGGACACAAGACAGTGGTACCACCGATCCGTGCTGCCCCAAGTCCCATGATCAGTGACCCTGTGGTGTTGGAGGTTAGTGTACTTACTGCCCGTCTCCTTTCCTCGTTTCCTGAGTCTTTTAAAGGGAAATAAAATTCATATATATTTTGACGAAAAGTATTTTAAACTACTGGGTGCCTGTATAAACAGGAATAGATTAATAAGTAGTGGACTTTGTGCCACGAAGTAAAATTTTCTTTTAAAAGGATTTTTTTTACAGTTTGTATGAAACAGAAATAATGCTATTCAGAAATAGTTATTTACAAGCAAAATATGAGGAAACAGACTCTCCAGTTTTATATTTCTTATAATTATTGTATTTATAAAATATTAAGTATTTTATATGTGTAGAAAAATGCATATTAATATATAGACATTCAGAAAACTAAATATTTCCAAACTGCCAGCTTGTGAGCGTTATAAGGTGCAGATTAACTGTAGCATTCAGAACAGAGATCTCTTTGCTCCCTCATCCCAACCAAAAGCAGGTGTTTGGGGAAACTTACTGTTGGGTTAAACTAAAAAATAAATAAATAAAAAGGGCAATAGCGAGCTTTTGCTCATTTAAGCCCTGTGAGTAGAACTAGAGATATGTATGACAGCTGTGATTGACCTCCACACTCTTTCCTCCACTCTGCTTTCGTTTCTGGCTATCTTTATTATAACACTTATCAATTCTCTTTATATCACACACGTATACATATTTTGCTTCCTCACTAATCAGGGAGTTCCTAAGGAAAGATACCTGGTCTTCACTTCCGTAGCTTCCATATACCTGGGAAAGAACTCAGATGTTTTTTAATTAAAATAGACTTTAAGGGACTTCCCTGGTGGCGCAGTGGTTGGGAATCCGCCTGCCAGTGCAGGGGACATGGGTTTGATCTCTGGTCTGGGAAGATCCCACATGCCGCGGAGCAACTAAGCCTGTGCGCCACAACTACTGAGCCCACGAGCCACAACTACTGAAGCCTGTGTGCCTAGAGCCTGTGCTCCGCAACAAGAGAAGGCACTGCAATGAGAAGCCCGCGCACCGCAGCGAAGAGTAGCCCCCACTCGCCGCAACTAGAGAAAGCCTGCGTGCAGCAATGAAGACCCAACACAGCCAAAAATAAATAAATATATATATATATTAAAAAAAGAACAAAAGATGCTCCTAGTTCTCTAAAAAAAAAAAAAAAAACTTCAATAAGCAAATTAAATGTCTGGGAAGAAATAGTATGTGAAGAATAGACGTCATGGCATTGAAAGCTTGGGAAAGTTTCACACTGCAATATATGCATTCTTTGGCTTTAATTCTAAAGAGTTAGTGAAGAATGAATTTATTCTCATCAGTCCTCTTAGTTTGGGTAAATAGTGACATACATTCTGTAGAGCATTTTGAGTTCCTTCTCCGTACTCGGGCAAGCCAGTTCATACGTGGAAGGAACCATGACCAGAATCTAAGACCACCCTTCCTCTCCTCTTTATCCTATCCCCTCCTTGCTTCTCTTTATTTCCTTTTACTCATATTCTTGATTAAGACAAAATCAAATTCATCCAGTCAGTTAATTTTACAGATGCGTTCAAATTAGTAGAAAGGAGTACAAAAAAATAGCTGACCTGATGCAAAGTTTCAGTGAAGTGCACTTATGAGGTTTAATTAAGGCTACCTTAATTTTTATGAAGGTGCCTGTATTAGCCTGCTAGGGCTCTCATAATAAAGTATCACACTGTGTGGCTTAAACAACAGAAATTTATTTGCTCACAGTTCTGGAGGCTGGAAGTCCAAGATCAAGTCCTGGTGTCAGCGGGGTTGGTTTCTCTTGAGGTCTCTTTCTTTGGCTTGTAGACAGCTGCCTTCTCCCTGTGTCTCTCCTTTGCATGCACTTGTCTGTGTCCTAATCTCTCCTTATAAGGCTCCATTCCTGTTGGATCAGGGCCCACTCTCATGACCTCATTTATTTTCCTAAAAGCCCCATCTCCAAATACAGTCACATTGGGGGTTAGGGCTTCAACATAAGAATTTCACGGGGGAGAACAGAATTCGGTCAATGACAGTACGACATAAATATGTAGCAGGGTCAGTTTCTAAAATTTCGAAGATAGTATTTGTTGAAAGGAGAATTTTTAGTTATTCCATAATAAGTCATTGGAGAAATTGAGAGCTAAGATCCATCTGATTGAATTTTTGATTTTAAAAAAATGTATTTTTAAGAAAGAAAGCATTTTTAACCGCCAACAGAACTAAATATTCATGTGTTTTCCAGTAAAATGTCGCACACAGTTTTATTTGAATTGTATTAAAAATGTAGGAGAATTTTCAGCTAGTGTTCTCTAGATGCTAACATATGAATGTATTAAATATAATTTAATTCCTAAAATGTAATTTTATTCTTCACTCTTTGGGAATAAAGTTAACCCTTTTGATGACTGGCCATTGGATATTTTAATAGTAAATACTTTTTTCCCCTCTTTTTTTTTCTTTTTTTTCTTTTTTTATGTGGCAGCATGGAGGGATCTATGTAAAGAGAAGTGCCAAATTCAATGAAAAGGAAATGAGAAAAAAGCTGCAGAGCTACATCAATGCAGGAACTCCAGTAAGATTATGCTCATTTTCATTATTTTTCTTATCAACTCTCATTTTTTAATTTAAACATTAAATTAGCATTTAAGAATTGTTTTGAAAATATAGTATCCCATGTGTAATAAATAATTCAGAGTTTTCGAGGCAACAAAAACCCTCTAAATATAGGTAAGCAGTTATTTTTGGCCACCAGAAAGATTGCGCCAGGCGATTGGATCCTTTGCTGGTAGTTGTCAATATTGACCTTAAAGAGGAGTAACAAGAACATTTGCTGTCTTCAGTCTATAAATAGAAAACAGAACTGCGCTTGTAACCTTAGCTTCAGCCACTTCAGAGCTCCTCCAACTCCGCTTCTTCAGTCACATGGAGTTTTAGAACAGCTGTTTTCTGTCGGTATAAATTTGGATTTCTTGTATCTGTTGAGTTATTTGAAAAGTCAGGAAAAGTATGAATATCTACAAATGAAGAATCATTGAGTGTAAATGTTACTTATAAAACCTTGCTCCGCCCAGAAGGAATCTCAATATTCTCTTTGAAGAATGCCGATTGCTGCCCTATGGCTCTTCCCTGGCGCTCTCCGAGGACAGAGCACCGTGACTGCAGTGACCTCCTGAGCTTTACTCCCCAGTGCATGGCATGCTTGTCTGTCCTGGTGCTCAGGGGCTTAGCTCCCAGTTACCAGTTCTTTTCTTCTTTCTTCTTTCCTTCCCGCTCTCCACCTTCCACGTCTTCTCTTCTTGCTCATGGTGCCTTCTTTCCTTGTGTGCTTGGTGATCTTTGTCTGCTCATGATTGTACCTGGAAAATTATTTGCAGAAATCAGCGCAAGCGTAAGATGAAAGTGCCTTCCCCCAGAGAACGGTGGCATTTGTTTTAGCTGGGCCCCTCGAGGCTCCTCTCGCCCGGGCCTGCCCAGACCAAATGCTGAGCTTGAGGCTGACTGGACCACCCAGGCGACGCAACCAAGGTGGCAAGTGCACGTGAGGCCTGGATTGCCTGCTTTACTTTTGTACCAGGAGTGAAGCCTGTGGCGCTCCCTCCACTTCTGGTTCACTCTCACTGTTTCCAACAGGAGGTCTGTGGCCTTCGATTTCGGTTCCCCTCACCTTTTGAATCTCTTAGAACGAAAGTTCTTTCCTGGGCTTACTTCTGCTTTACTGTGTTTGCTTTAATCTTGGTCTTACCATCTTGTCAGCTCTTGGATACTTTTAAGATGATGTTATATCCAGCTTTTTAAGTTGTTTTCAGTAGGAAAGTCAGTTCAAATAACCTAATCTTGGGCTACCGGAGAACTTTTCTGTTTTTCAAGGGCAAGAGTCTAGTGTTTTGATGTTCATGCAGTGATGCTGAGTGGCAGGCTCGTGAGGCAGTGCTGTGAGCCGCTGTCACTTCAGGTCACTACAGGTCTGAGGCCGGTTTTTTAGAACCTGGATGAATCGTCTTTTTTTTTTTTTTTTTTGCGGTACGCGGGCCTCTCACTCTTGTGGCCTCTCCCGTTGCAGAGCACAGGCTCCGGACGCGCAGGCTCAGCGGCCATGGCTCACGGGCCCAGCCGCTCCGCGGTATGTGGGATCTTCCCGGACCGGGGCACGAACCCGTGTCCCCTGCATCGGCAGGCGGACTCTCAACCACTGCGCCACCAGGGAAGCCCTTCATTTTTTAATATTAAAGGCTATGAAACAGATACATAATCTCAGACTCTTCATTATGCTCTTTTGTTTCTGAAAGTTAATCACATAATTGACAGAGTGGAATATATCAAGTCAGCTTCCATATGGCTTAATTTTCCTCACAGAAATCTATGGTTAATCATTAAATCAGCTCTTATTATTCACTACTAGTATTATTTGAGAGACTGCAGAATTTTGTTTCCAAAAATATGTCTGAATTATCAATTACTAAGAAATACATCTTCTCAATAAATATTGCTGAGACAATATTTTTATAAGGTACTTATCAGTTGGGGGTGCAAATGAAACATTTATGTTAAAAATAACTACTTCATCTCTAGAAGTCACTTAGTCAGCATTGGAGCCATGCAGTTTACAGCACAAGTATGGAATCTTGTGCTTTGTTTCTTCCCAGATTTAACTCAAGTTCCTTTTCAAATGTGAGGCAACCTAGTGCATAAGAGTATTGGCTTTGACATCAGATTTGAGTTTAAATTCCAGATCTGCCATTTAAACTTTGTTACTTTGTGCATCACTTAACTTCTCTAAGCTTTAGTTTCCTTATATGGTAAATTTGTTAATAATTACTTGATTTGGTAGATAGGATTAAATAACATGTTTGAAAATTATGCTTATTGTATTTTCCTATTGCTGCTGTAACAAAGTACCACAAACTTACCAGCTTAAAATAACACAAATATTGGATATAACAGCAAAAGCACAGGTAACAAAAACAAAGATAAACAAATGGGACTACATCAAGCTAAAAAGTTTCTGCACAGCAAAGGAAATAACAAAATGAAAAAGCAGCCTACGGAATGGGAGAGAATACTTGCAAACCACATATCCTATCCAATAAGGTGTTAATTTCCAAAATATTTGAGGAACTCATGCAACTCACTAGCAAAAAAACAAATAACTCAATTGAAAATGGGCAAGGGACTTGAAAAGACATTTCTCCAAAGAAGACATACAAATAGCCAACAGGTGCATGAAAGGTGCTCAGCATTGCTTATCATCAGGAAAATGCCAGTCACAACCACAGTGAGAGATCACCTCACACCTGTTAGGATGGCTCTTATCACAAAGTCAGAAGATGAAAGTGTTTGTAAGGATATAGAAAAGTTAGCCGATGTTGGTGGGAATATAAGAATTCCATAGTGGTACAGCCATTATGGAAAACAGAATGGAGGTACCTCAAAAGATTTAAAAAAAGAACTACCGTATGATCGAGCAATTCCACTCCCGGGTATATATCCAAAAAAATAAAATTACTATCTTGAGGAGACATCTGCATTCCCATGTTCATTCACAGCAGCCAAGATATGGAAACAACCTAAGTATGCGTTGACAGATGAATAGATAAAGAAAATGTGGTGTACACAGACACACACACACAAAATGGAATTTTTTCAGCCTTAAAAAAGAAGGAAATCCTGTTCTTTGCAACAACATGGATGAACCTCAAGGGCATTATGCTAAGTGAAATACGCTTGACACAGAAAGACAAACACTGCATGGTCTCACTTATATGTGGAATCTAAAAAGGCTGAACTCATAGAACCAGAGGGTAGAGTGGTAGTTCCCAGGGCTGGGAGTTGGGGGAAATGGGGAGATTCAGTTACAAGATGAATAAATTCTGGAGATGTAGTGTACAGTATGGTGACTATACTTAATAATAACATATTACGTACTTGAAATTTGCTGAAAGAGTAGATTTTAAGTGTTCTACCATAAAAAAAATACGGTAACTCTGTGGTGTACACGTATAGTAAGGCATCGCGTTGTACCTTAAATATATACAGTTTTTATTTGTCAATCATACCTCAATAAAGCCAGGAAACAAAATAATACTAATTTATTATCTAAATCATTCTGGAGGCCAGCAGTTCAAAATGGGTCTCACTGGACTAAAGTCAAGGTGGCAGTGCACTGAGGTCCTTAGGGAGATTCCGAGGGAGAATCCATTCTCTTGCCTTTTATAGTTTCTGGAGGTTGCCTGCCCTCCTAGCTCACGACTTCTTTCTGTCTGCAAGGCCAGCAGTGGCCGGTCTGTCTCCTTCGTGCTGGCCGTGTCTGTGGTTCTGACTCTTCTGCCTCCCTCTTTCCTGTCCTTGTGATCACGTGATCGCATTGGGCCACCCCCACCCCCACCCCCAGCATTCTACGATCAGCCCTTACCCTGAGGTCCAGTGGCTGGTAGTCTTAAATCCCCCTTTGCCGTAACCTGCCCTATTCACAGGTTCCGAGAATTAGGAGCTGGACGTTTGGGGGAGGGGCCGTCATTCTGCCTGCCACGCCCGTGTGCATCTGTGTGATTTTATCACTGTTTTCTGATCATACATAGGGCACTTGCATAATTAAATAATATACTCTTTGAGGAAAGAGATAGATACTTTGTATCTTCCACATTTTTGTATTCTTTCCTCTGTAAATGTGCAATGGAATTTTTAATGGGTTGAATGTTTCTGATTATAAATGTAGAAAACTTTGTAAAGAAGTTATACTGTGCTAGATTGGTTTAATTTGGGAGACAGAAGGCAGAGAGGAACCATCTTATTTATATTCTGTGCATCTCAGTATGAAATAGCTTTTTATTTAAAGAGAAAGCAAGTAATTAAAAGATGTCTAGCTAATCAAAACTTATTACGTTCTGAGATATTATTTCTGTATAAATGCGCCTGCTTTGGAACTCTTCAGTAAACTAGGAGAATTTTTAAAAACAAGCGGGGGAGGAAACAATATGTTTGAAGAGCTGCCACACAGGGCTTGATATTCTCACATATTTCCTTTAATCCTCACAGCAACCCCGAGTCTTCATTTGGGAGTGAGAAACTGAGGTTCACTTAACAAGTAAATTAACTTTTTGTAAGCATGGAGAAAAGGCTGTTTTTAGTAGAAAATCATCAGTTCAATAGTTGGTTACAATTTGAATGTATTTTAAACTCTTAAATAGCTCTTTTCTTTTCGAATAGACTGTTAACGTGAAATAACCTGCTAATTTTCAGGTAGGGGCCAAAGTGCGTGTGTTTAAAGTGGTATGTCACATCTTGAATATAGATTTTTCTGATGTGGAAGGTCATCACTAAAGAAAAACAGACTCTCTGGTTCCTTCCAAATGAGAATTAGCAGAATAAAAGAGTTATATGAACAGTAGCAAAAATCTTGTGCATAATTTGATTGGTTTGTGACAGTTTGTCAGTTTTTTCCTGTCCTCCTCGTTGCTTCTCTGTCCTTGAGCAGGGATTTCACTTATATTTTCCTTAATTGAGAAGCAGGTCCAGAAATGTCAGCCCCTGTGGCCATTCTTCTCTTGCCCTAGTGCTCTACTTTTAATCCCTCCACTTCCTCTGCTGCCACCTTCTCTATTTCCAGGGGAACTAAAGAAGGGAGCAGCCTTTTGGTCAGCAGTTTGAAAGCCGTAGCAAGGAAGCTATCAGATGAGAGCACCTCTGTTGTCCTGGGCTCTCATTCCTGAGAGAAGCAGAACTGCTTTGTCTCATGGCCTTTGGAGGGAGTTATTGAGAAGGCAACACACCAAGCTGGTGGCAGGGAAGGCAGGTCCCCTCGGTCAGGGTGATTAGCTACTCATGTCACGTTGTTCTTCTTCCCACCAGATGCACCATCGCAGATTTCTAAAGCAGGTCTGTTTTCACTGTAACAGCAAATTGCAACGTTATTTTGCACCAGGCACCGTATTGAGTAGATTATATGACTTACCACCCTTTTTTTTTTTTTTTTAAGAAGCAATATGAGTTTAATTACTCTGGAAACAATCACCCCCCAAATGATGCCTGAACCTGAAAGGTACATAAAAATGACCAAAAATATCTTAAAATAATAGAGCTGAGGGTTAATTGTCGTTTTTCCCTCAGAGCAAGTGTGTGTTCAGCTGGACAGTAAATTACAAACCATGTTAAACAAGGCTGATGATGAATCTGGTTGCATTTGTTATGACTCCCGGGCAAGTGACCTTGCGGGAGCGGGGCGTTCTTCCTCCCAGCTGTGTGGTCAGTCGGCCCAGGACGGGGCAGCCCTGGAGGCAGCAGGTGGAGACCAGGCCCTGCCTGTCTGGCCACTGCTCGTCCTGCTGACCCTCTGTGACTGAAGTGGACACAGCACCCTGGCCCTTGTTGACATCACTGATGCACACCCACTGCCCGTCGACCGACTCCTTCCACAGGGTCACCCTATTGTCTCCCCTTGAGGCGGCCAGGATGTTGGCTGTGATGGGCTGGCTCCCATGCCGTACAACATCACTGAACTTGTGCAGCAGTTTGGGGGACCACGCACTGCCCGAGGCACCATCACAGGCCCAGATGAACACTGGACCATCCTGGGAGCAGCTGGCAATGGTGCTGGTGGGCAGGCCGATGGAGGGGGCCCAGGCCACATCTCAAACCCAGTCACTGTGCGCTTCCAACTTCTGCCCTTCCTTGCACTGCCGCCCTCCTCCCCCGTGCACGGTTTGGTGAGGTTGTCACAGCCACAGCCACAGCGAATGCAAGCGTCTTGATGTAGCTGGGCTTCTGCCCAGATGGCTGGTCTGTGAGGCTTCCAGGTCCGACAGCAGGGGCCCAGCTGACGGCATTGCAGCCAATAGCGTGAGCACTGTTGGTCTTCTTCACTTCCCACCGGCCCAACCTGGTGTAAGTCAGCAGAGAAATGGCGCCATCCGAGCTCCCACAGGCTAGGATCGGGCCGTAGTCATGGGCGGGGGGGGCCCAGCACACAGAGTTTACTGAGGAGTCGTGTCCCGTGAGCTCACGCGTCTTCTCCCAGGTGCCATTTTCCTCTTTCCGGTCGTAGGAGCAGGATGCCAGGACATTGCCATGCATGGGGTGGGCCCAGGCCACTCGCCACACAGGACCCTCATGACGCCTGAGGTCGGCGACGAGGATCTTTCCTCCTCTGAGCACGTCGAAGGTCTTGACGGGCCTGTCGTCAGATGAGCAGGCTGCTCGGCGGGTGCCGCGGTGGTCCGCCTGGGCATCTCGCTGCAGAGGGAGGGCTGCTCGGGAAGCCTGCGGGAATCACGTCCTCATGGGGCGTGTCCGCAGTGGTAATGACTGACGCCACGGTCACGGCAGCTCCAGGCCTTGGACATGGCAGGTCCCGGCGGCGCGTCGACTTACCACCTTCTGTCGTTGTAACATCCCAGTGAGGCGTAGGTGCCACTGTCGCTTCATTTTATAGATGAGGAAACTTAGGTGCAGAGAGGAGGAGTCATCCAGGGCCACGGGGCCTGTGAGGGGAGAGTCGGGATTGAAGTCAGTTATTCATACTGCTGTGTGCTTTCTCTAGTGACAGTCTTTGTAAATACAATTTCCTATAGAAGACCACCTACTCTGTGGCGTAATGGCCATAAAATAGCCTTATTTATTGTTTAGCCAGTGACCTTAATAATTTAATAATAATTCATTGTGTGACTGTCATATTTTACTTTTTTAATGTAACTTTTATTCTGTGTAATGATTAGTTTCTTTTACAGTTTGGAACCCATTCGCTGACTTGTGGAAGATAGTAATGGGCTTTGGCCTGTTTATTTGTTTGTTGAGCTGTAATTCACATACTGTGAAATTCACCATCCTAAAGCACGTCATTCAGTGGTTTTCCACGTATTGGCCAAGTTGTGCAGCCGTCACCACTATGTAATTCCAGAACGTCTTCATCACCCCAAGGAGCCTGTGCCTCTTAGCAGTCACTCCCTGCTTGCTCCTCTTCCCATCCTGTGCCTAGAAAATCTGTACAACTTGTGTGGTCTAATTTTGCTTCATGCCGTTCTTCCACTTCCACACTGAGTTACATTGGCTTTTCCTTAGTCCTGCAGCGCCCCGGCTCTTCCCCACCTGCGAGTCTGCACGCAGTGCGTCTTCTGTCTGGTGGCTGCCTCTCTCTCTTCTACTGAAGTACTGTTGGTGAGGTGTGATTGATGTGCAGTAGGCTGCAGACGGTTACTGTGTAGAATTTGATGAGTTTGGGTGTCTGTATACAAACCATTGCCACAATCGAGATACTGCCCATATCCACAAGCTCCAAAAGTGTCCTTGTGCCTCTTTGTGCCTGTTCCGTCTCAAGGCAGTCACTGAGCTGCTTTCTGTCACTATGGATTAGTTTGTACTTTTTAGAATTTTATATAAATGGAATCATACAGTTTGTACTCTTTGTTTGGGAGTGAGTTTGGCTTCTTCCACTTAGCATCATCATTTTGAGACTCCTCCAGTCATTGTATGTATCAGTATAGCTTGTTTCTCTTTACCGCTGCTGAGCAGCCTTGAATAGAACCGGTGAGGGTGGGCGTCCTTGCCTTGTTCCTTGTCTGCTGGGGAAAGCACCTGTTCTTTTATCATTCTTTAGGCCTTAGACCCATCATCCATTCTAGTTTCCCTCGTGTCATTTTCTTTCATATCACCTTGTTCTTTTTCTTCGTAGTCACATAGTGTGTAATTATATATTTGTATTTGTTTAGTGTACTTTCTTCTCACTTGTCTCCAAAGACCATATTGTTTTGTTACTCTGTATATAGCACCTGGCACATAATAGGTGTACAAGAAATATTTCTTGAATGAACCCTGCATGAATAGTTCTTTCTTACTTTCTTGCTAACCGTCAGTGTTTTTTAAGTAAAACATCTGAGAGACAGAAAATAATACCACACGAGTTATTAACCATTCCAATCATGAATTGTTTTATTTATAAATGCTTGAGTGAAAAGCTAATAACCTTCAGTAATTGCTTTCATGGCTTTGAATACAAACTTTACTAATTTAAAATGTTTTCTCATGAGAATGAATTTGTGGTTTTGGGAACTAATTTTAGTATTTTTCTTCCGGCTTTTCCTTCTGGCTCCTGGAACATAATAAGGAATTCTTAATTAAAAAAATTTTTTTACCCAGTTTTCTACATTTTTTGACCACTCTGAAAAGATAACCAAACACAACCTATTAATTTCTAAGTTAGGCAAAGATAGTAGCTTCTAAAAATGATATATGCAGATGGATAAAAAGCTTCTGCATTTGCATGGAAGTTGAAAACACAAAATTGCAGAGCCACCATTATACCAGCTTTTCAGGTTAAACTTTGGAAGAGAATGATCATATGTTTATCTAATGAAAAAATTCAGATTTTCACATAGGTTCATTTATATCTATGTGAAAATCATAGATCATTCAGATAAAAGAATATTTCTGTGCTGGACATCTAGGTAGATGGTCTTACCTGGGATCTGGTAAGGATGGATAAAATGAGCATACTTTTCTCTCATGAGCTCCTTAAGTTTAGACTAATTGATTACTTAGTAAACATCCAGCTTGATTTATAACTCATTTATAATTGCATTGTTTTAATTTATGAGGCCACTTGTAAATTGAGTCATTTAAAATGCATTAAGGGAGTCTTATAAAATAAGAATACTGTGTGAATCTTTTGAAATACGAACATCTATTACCTTTTATATTGTGGAAATTTATATAGTTATGTATATAACTATATATCTCATCCCTCAAATGAGATGTACTTAGGGACCCTGATGTCTAAAATTTACACGTTTTCTTTTTATTTATTTATTCATTTTATTTATTTATTTTGGCTGCCCTGGGTCTTCGTTGCCACGTGTGGGCTTTTCTCTAGTTGCGGCGAGCAGGGGCTACTCTTCGTTGCGGTGTGCAAGCTTCTCATCGCAGTGGCTTCTCTTGTTGCAGAGCACGGGCTCTAGGCGCATGGGCTTCAGTAGTTGTGGCGCACGGGCTCAGTAGTTGTTGCTCGTGGGCTCTAGAGCGCAGGCTTAGTAGTTGTGGCGCACGGGCTTAGTTGCTCCGCGGCATGTGGGATCTTCCTGGACCAGGGCTTGAACCCATGTCCCGTGCATTGGCAGGCAGATTCTTAACCACTGTGCCACCAGGGAAGCCCTAAAATGTACACCTTTTCAAAAGTCATTTTGCAGAATCTTAGGGGGAAAAAAACCTCTTTCATTGTTGAATTGAGGCTTTGTATGAGTCATTTATGGCCAGTTTTTAAATTAGTGAATATTTGCATGTAATTAGAAATGTTGGATTCTTAATGACTGACCTACAAATGAATGTAGGACGGTATTTCACATATAGTCTATGTTAATATTAAGACTTAATTGAATTTGTGCATTTTGGTTGTTCTGCTTGAAATGAAGGTCATAGGTAATTGAATATACCTCTTTTTTCCCCCACCATGGGAAATACTCTTAGGAGTAATAGGGTTAGCATTGATAAGTTAACAGCAACAATAAAAACACTCACATAAAACAAACCAAATTTTCTTTATGGCTTCACAGATGTATCTTGTGATTTTTCCAGAGGGAACAAGGTATAATCCAGAACTAACAAAGGTCATTTCAGCTAGTCAGACATTTGCTGCTCAAGAAGGTAAGTAAAACATTACCTGTATTTGAAAATAAAATTTTTAAAGATAATGACCTTTTAAATTTTTGTTCCTAGAGAAGATATTTATGTTTTACGACAGATGAAATGAATGAATGTTTTTATTCCTTGAATGAATGTCTGTATTATTTCTTAGGAAATGAAGTTTCTTCTCATTAATTCATATGCATGTTATTACATATGTCTGAGAGATTAAATTCAGGTGCTTCCTACAGTACGTATTTTGGTACCGTGGCTTTAGGCAAAATCTATCTGGGCTCATGATTATTTAGATGGAACCTTTTTCTGCAGTCTGGGTTCTGTGTGATGGACAGAGTTTCTATTTTGTAGGTTGACAGACCTAGATTGGAATCCAGATTCTGACATTTATTAGCAGTGTGGTTGCAAGCTGCCTGATGTTACTGAGCATGAGTTTGCTCGTCTCTTAAAAAAGATCTGTGGATTCTGCATCCATGGATTCAATCAACCACAGATGGAAAACATCTAAAATACATTTTTTTCAGGAAGTTCCAAAAAGCAAAACTTGAAATTGCCATGCTGGCAACTATTTACAAAGCATTTACGTTGCACTTACAACTATTTACATAGCATTTGTGTTGTATCGGTTATTAGAAGAAATCCAGAGCTGATTTAAAGCATACAGGAGGATGTGTGCAAGTACTAGGCCGTTTTATAGAAGGGGCTTGAGCATCTGTGGATTTTGGTATCCAAGGGGTGGAGTTGGGATTGGGGCTAGTCTTAGAAGCAATCCCCTGTGGATACCAAGGGGTATGCCTAAGTCTGTGTAAGAATTAAAGTAGAAGATGTGTGAAGTTCCTATTGGAGAATATTACACACAGTTAGTTCACAGTTCTTAAAAGCTATTAATGTCCCCAATAATGAGAATGTTCTTAACATCATATTTTAGAAAATTGGATAACTGATACACCAATAAGCTATACAATTTAACCAAATTGGCTGTGTTCTCAAAGGTGTCTCTAAAGATTGACCGTGGATTAGCATGTGGTCTGCCTGCTTTGATCAGCAGCGCTACCCGAACAGATGCCTTGTTGCAGCGCTCTGCCAGGGCCTCTGAGGTTATGAGAGCCTGCTGCAAGGGTGGTACTGTTCTGTGTCTGCTCTGACCCATGTGGTAGTGATCATTCGAAATGTGGCTGGTGCATCAGAGGAAATGCATGTTTAATTCTAGCTGGTTTGAGTCAACTCATCATGATCTGAGACGGAATTCTCCCCCTAGACTTCCATCTGGCTCGTCTCCATTTTCCTCCTACCCTCTGGTGCTTCGCGCTTAGTCTCCTTTCTAGCCTCCTCTTCTGCTTCATTCTTTCCTGTTTCATGTTATTTCTGGTGTCTGACTTTGGTCTTTTTCATTTATTTCACTTTCTGTGTTTTTCATGGTGGCCTTCATCTAAAATCCAGAGCTGTCGCCACCATTTATTTCACTGCAGATGACTCACAAAAAGCTTTCTCCCATCCGCACCTCTCTGCCTGACTCAAGACCTGTATTCACAGTGGCCCAGCGGAGAGCTTCACCTGACTGATGTCCCAAACTTGGTGTGTCAAATACAGTATTTACCTTTCCACTCATACGCTCTATCAGCTGGGCCTCTCTCTTCAAGGTTCCTTCAGCTTTTCTTTACAGAATATACACGTATCCCTCTTGTACTAGTATTTAGTCTTAGATGAACATTACCACTAGCTTTGGGCTGCATTCCCAAGCACATATTAATTCATATAACCTTAGGCAGGTTACTTTATTTTTTTTGGTCTATTTCCTTATTTGTAAATCAGGAATCATAATATCTCCTTCATAGGGCTTTTGTGAGATTCAGTGACATAATGTTTATAGAAAGCCTGGTATGTAATATATATTTACTAAGTCATTACTGCTAACTTAGAAAATGGAGGAGAGGTACCACCACAGGTAAATCTATTAATAATGGCAAAAATTGATAGCCGATCCTGAGGGATAAAACAGAAGGGCTAATAAAATTGGATGTAAGAACTCCAATCATTACCATTTGGAGCTATTATGTAAAAGGCAAGCAAGGCTATGTCTTGTAACCACATTCCTTTAAGAAATACTTATTACAAGGCAGATATGAGTCCTTATCCAATCGAGGATAGATAAGAACACACGTATATGATGTACAAAGAGATAAGGTGTGAGAAGTACAGATAACGTTCCGTGGGAGTTGAAGGAAAAGAGAACTAGTGACACACAGGGTGTCTGGATGACTGCCAAGAGGAGGTGACGTCGGAAATGTAGAATTAGGGCCGACACGTATGGGGAAGGGAGGGAATTCTAGGTATAAGAAATAACAATAGCAAAGACATGGAGTTAAGAGCAAAGAGTTTGATGTCTTCAAGCAAAAGATGAGTGAAGGAGAGCTGTGTGAGTTCAGTGCGTCAGGCTGGCGTGAGTATCAGTCACGGCAGGCGGCGAATTTTAGGCTTAGTGGTCTGGACGTCACTGCAGAGTTGAATGGAAGTCATTGAACAGTATGCTTTGTAATTAGTTCATTATGTTTTATTTAAGAAGTCACAGTCTTAATTCCATTTTTCTAAAAGCATGTTCTGTAACTGAGCCCACAAGATATTTTGGGGAAAAAAAGGGTTTCATGTCCAAATGGGTTTAGAAAATGTTGCATTTTATATCCTTTCCTCAGGGAGTTATAGTTCACGTTTGTGTATTAGTCTCAGAAAAGTACTGTTGTGAAAATGTCTTATTTTGTTTAAGGAACCGTTTTCTAGATTTGTATAAGAAAACAATGATCTAAAATGGTTACACAAAATTTGGGGTTTTCATGAAGTAAATTTTTATGGTTTCAGAAAATTGCGGCTCTCCTGAATTATTCCTTCTCCAATGATTCTAGATTGCTGAGCCCTGACTTTAACAAAATATATATTTTACTCTTTGAAGCTTAAAATAGTTTATAGATGAATTAGTTTGAGACTCTTCATAAAAACTTGAGTTATGAAGGCCATAAACTATATAAATTTTCAGTTACACTTGTGTGTCACCTCTTATATCCACTTTAATTCTGTTTAGGAATTACAATTTTATGTTAGATGAGATGAAAGGGAAACAATAAACTTAATATTTGGGAATTTTTTTCCTGTTACTTTTCATGTGTCTTGTAAAATCTGATGCATTTTGTTGTCATTAAATAATCAACTACATCTTGGAACACGTGTTTTCCATGAGTTGAACAGAGAGCTGAACTCTGGAGAAGTTGACCTAGAGTGCTTTAAGTCTTCACAGACTGTGCTGATTTCATTTTTGATTTCTAACATGTAACACATTCTGCTAAGGTGGTACAACTAGCCATAATGTCTTCTAGGAGTTTATAATTTAATAGGAGAGATAAACATGATTGTATTTGTTATCTATTGAGGTGTAACATATTATTCCGTACCTTAATGGCTTAAAATGACAAACATTTATTATCTCACGGTCTCTGTGGGTCAGATGTGTTTAGCTGGTGGCTTCGCGCTCAGGGTCGGTCTGAGGCTGCAGTCAAGGTGTCCGCCGGGGCCGTGGTCACATCCTGGCTTCCCTGGGGAGGAGCTGCCCCCGCGCTCATCACACGGCTGTCAACAGGCCTCGGGTCCCCTGTGGCTGTTGGCTGCAGAGTCCGTTTCTTGACACTTGAGCCTCTTCACAGAGCTCCTAACAACAGGACAGCTTGCTCCTCTAGAGCGATGGATCAGGGAGGGGCGGGGACAGGAAGAGGGAGAGGTAGTGACAGTGGGAGCATAGGGGAGGGTGAGCGAGCCAAGCATGGTCTTCTCAGAACCTAACCTCAGAAGTGACACCCCGTCGCTTTTGCCATATTCTCTTCATTAGAAACAGTTCACTGGGTCCAGCCCACACCCCAGGGGAGACTGTACAGGGGTGTGACTACAAAGAGGGCCGTGCTAGAGGCTGCCGACCTCAGTGGTGCTCAAGTAGGAGTTTTGCGTAAATAGTGACATCGCGCTAGACTGTGATGAGACACCGATGAGCAGAGTGCACTTGAGGTTAACTCAGTTCCAGATGCGGGTTCGGTGAGGCTTCCTGGGAGAGGAGGCATCTGGGCAGCTGTAAAGAGCCTCGCTGGAAGAGGCGTTGGTCGTGGCGAGGCTGCCTTTCAGTAGGAAAGGGTGGCACGAGCCCAGGAGCACTGAGAGCTCTCTGCTGTCTCAAAGCACAGTCAGTGTGTGGGGCGTGGGGCAGAGTGAGAGCCTGGGGGGGTTCCCGCTACTGGCAGGAAGGCCTGAGCGCGGCTCCGCAGGGGCAGTTGAGGTCCTCACAGTAGTAACCAGATGTCCAGAAACTAGTACGCTGTTTTCAACACCTTCGCCTCTTACAACCCTTTCATAATGTGTGATGGACTAATTCATTAAATATATTAAGCAAGTCAGAATTAGCCCTGGACATTTTATTGTATCTTGTCACGGGTCAGATCACTAGTTGTTGTTGAGGTATAATAAGTTTGCATGATGGAATGAGTATAATCCCAGATTACTGTCTGTGTGGAGAATAACATAGAATTATTGTGTGTTTTGGCTTTGAAGGACTAATGATTTCTTTTGTACAATTTACGTGTGTGTATGTGTGTGTGTGTGTGTGTGTGTATTCCTATTTAAATATTGGTTTACTTTTTTCAGTTGGGTAAGACAAATGGTTATTTGCAAATAGATTTATTTACTGTGTTATGTTTACGCAGATTTGTCGTTTCAGTCCAGGTTTTAGGGCCTGTGTTAGTCACCTCAGGCTGCCGTAACAAGCCACCACAGACTGAGTGGCTTAAACAGTAGACATTTATTTTCTCCCAGTTCTGGAGGCTGGATGTCCAAGATCAAGGTACCAGCAGGGTTGGTTTCTCTTGAGGCCTCTCTTCCTGGCTTGTAGGCAGCCACCTTCTTGCTGTGTCCTCACATGACCTTTCCTCTGTGGGCTCGCTCACAGAGCGAGGTCTCAGGCATCTCTTCCTCTTTTT